ACAGACAAAGGAATTGACTAGTGGTAATCTATTGCCTAATTAGAACAAACCATAGCCTTTTGGGAAAACAGATATAGATTCTGTTGGAATGGAGGCAGTTAATTCTTTTGCTGACTTCAATGGGATTACAATATTGAGGATCCTATTAGTCTAAACCTATTTGGCAACATCTAAGAACCATCTAGAAATTAAGTTACAGGCAAAGAAAACCAAAGAACTGATGAAAGGAGATTTCTCATGATATCATTAAAATACCTGATTCAACCATTCCTATAAAGAACACTACATTTCAGACTTATCAATTATTAAGTCAACAAATCTCTTTCAATTATTTAAAATAGTTTGCTTGGTTTATATATTTAAAATAAAAATATTGTTGGTTAATACTCATATGCTACTACACTGCTTTATTTATATGCTCTCTATGCTTTGTGTCACATTGTTTTTGTCTCTAGCACTCAACACATAGTGCCTATACAAAACAGGCGCTTATCAATTGATAAGCTCCAGCTAAATTTGTTGATCAAATATGGTAATTATTAAGAATAGTCGATATTGCGCTAGCCCCATAGCCTTGTGGTTAAGGGAGTCAGCCCCACATGGGTGACCATGTGGTTGGAGTCCTGGCTCTCACAACTTGAAAAACATCCAGATGAACGTGTATGCATGCCCCAAAACCCAACAGGATGGAAAACAGGAGAAGAAGGAACCATGACATGACCACCTCCCATTGAGTGGTGCTTTCTCTCTCTCCCTCACTCCGTCTCTCTCTAATGAGTGCACATACCCTCTGTCAATTAAAAAAGAAAAATGAATGTTGGCCACGGAACCTGATTTCCATGGAAACACATTCTTGGATTGACCATGACTCAACATGCTTCTCTTTAAAATAAAGATCATAATAATAACACCAGAAGGTGACTATAAAAATTAAATTAAATAATATTTTAGAAGTGCACCTAGCACTGAGTAAGGACTCAACAAATGTTAGCAGATATAGCAATGAATTTATGGCTATACAATCATCATTAGTACTGGTAATACATCCTAGAATTACATGCTTAATCCATTCCATCTACAAAGTTAAATTGGTTATTGCAAATTACCCATATACTAGCTTTCTGATAGGAAGAGATGGAGTGAAGCCAAACTGAAGAACTGTACTAAGGCAGTGAATGAACTTCAAATCCTAAAACGGATATTATCAAAATGAAAGCCTTGAGATTTCAGTCTAAGTGTTGTGACCTTCATTTTTCACATTCATATTTAAAGATTATTTTTCAGATATCCCAGCAGAAAGTTGAGTCAGTATTTTACTCTATATTTGTAGATGTTTACTTTGTACTATGTGGGTGAATCCAAACAACTGAGACCTATCAAGGAGGCATGATGAACAAGTAGACATAAAATCAGTAAAGATATGGACTTGAACAACTCTACCAACCAACTTGACCTAATTGACATTTATACAACACTCCACTCAACACCAGTGGAATACATATTATTATGAACATTTTATAGTACATTTACCAATAGATACCAATTACTAGTCCATGAAACAAACATTAGTAAACTTAAGATCATTCAGATCGCACTGAGTGTCTTCAATGACAGTGATAGAATTAAGGGATGGATAACAGAACATTTTCTAGAATACTGTTAGTCATTAGGGAAATGAAATTTACAGCCACTATGAGATACTGTTAGAACATACAAAATTTAAATATTTGATCTTTCCTAGTTGATATAGGTAAACATGTGGAGAAACTAGAACTCCGATACACTGTTATTGGGAATATACACAAGTGAAATGGCAAACTACCTTGGAAAGCAGCACTTAAAATATTAAGAATATTTATCATATGATTTGGACATTTCTCTCCCAAGCATTTACCCATGACAAAAAAAAAAGAAAAAAGAAAAAGAAAAAGCTGATGCACAATGCTTGTACATAAGTGTGCCTAGTAGCATTATTTATAATAGCCAAAAACTGTAAACAGTCTAAATAAATGAACAAATGCTATAACCCAAATATTCCACAACAGGCAAGTATCTCAAAATAATGTGTTGAGTGAAAAAAAAAAGCAAACAAAAAATAATACAGTTTTATTTATATAAAACTTTAAGAAGTATGAATTAATCAAAAGTAAAAAAGATCAATAGAGGAGGGAGGAGGGGTACGAGGAGGGATTAACAAGGACAATGAGAAACTTTTCACAGGGAAGGATATATCTGCAACTTGATCGTGGTGATATTTTCATTGTGTACACAAGCCAGAACATATCAGAGTGTACTCTAAACATGTGCAGTTTATTGTATTTCAATTACATTGTCATATCACTGTTAAAAATGGAAAGAGATATATCACTGAGTGAAGCAAGTCAGGCTATGAAAGAGAGACATTGTATGTCTCCACTTAACATATACCGACTGTCTGTACAGACTAAAAGATTGGAGGACATTGGGACTAGCAAATGGCGCAATGGCTACATCACTGGACTCCGATGTAGTCGTCCATGTTTCGAGTCCTGGACCAGGTGGCTTAAACTCACTCTGGGTGCATGTTCATGTGTGCCCAAGATCCCAAGAGGAGAATGGAAGAGAAGGGATTGCAGCTTAGCCATCCCCCCTGGGGAAGGGAGTGATTTCTTACTTTCTGTCTCTCTGGTTCTCTCTGCCTTTCTGGCAAGAGCATGGGCCCTATAGCAAAAACCTCTCAAAAAAAAAAAGAAGGACATAAAAGCATTGAAAATAGTAATGTACTCTGGAGACAGTGTGGAAGAAGGGTGGGACAGAGAAAGAGGCATGTAGGGAAGGAAATTAGGGAGAAAAGAGAGGAAAGACATTGGTGGGGCAGAGAAATGGTTTATTACCTGTTGATGATAACATGTATGATATTCTCAATTGGACTGGTCTGAGGTGTATTTCATACTGGGTAAATTCTCTTTACAAGCTAAATGATGCATAGTGATTTAATGTATAAAAATAATAATAATAAAAATTTAAAAAGGAGAATTTTTTTCCTTGAGCTATCTTCACTGAAGTGAGTACATACTATGATCATTTGAAAACATACAGCAATCACTATATTTCCAGGAGTATTTAAAGCATAAAAAATACTGCTGGAGACAAGTATGTTGGAATCTATTACAATGTGGTCCTGAGCACCAGGGCAAAGTGTTCATTTTTCACAGTTGTGAATTAGCAAGCCTTTCCACCAAAATGTAGAGTGAAAATGAAGTCATAATCCTTGTATTTTCATTCTTTCCTACTGTTCTGATTCTCACATTTGTGAATAAATTTTTAATTTCACAGATCTATGAAATCAGGAATAAGTGTTATTTATGTATGCAATCACATTTATAATTTATTTAATCCAAATAATGTTTTCCTGACTTTACTCATGCTAAAGTAAAGCTAATATTCAGTCTTTTGGAAGTGGAGGAAGTGGCTGGAAAAAAATGTAATACACTGTAAAGTTATACGTGATTCAATGTAATATAAACAAGATTATGATAATAATAAATAAAAAACAAATTTTAATCTATTAAAAAGAAGAACTGGAGTAAGTTGATAAACAACTACAGATGTGTTCTCAAACTCACTCCAAGCTATTTTAATTTTTTTTTCTGCTTTATATTTAAGGTATAATACAGTTAAATGAACTGAATGCAAATACAACAAAATCTAGCTAAAAATCTCATATATACATATAAATTAATATACATGGCATATTAAAAATGCATAGTTTATGGGACCAGCAGTTAGTATAATGGCTATGTCGTTGAACTCCCATGTAGCTGACCACAGTTTGAGTCCCGGACCTGGTGGCTTAAAACTCACGTTGGGTGCATATGCATGCATGCCCAAGATCCCCGAGAGGAGAATGGAGGAGAAGTGATTGCAGCATGGCCATCCCCTCTGGGGGGAGATTTCTCGCTTTCTGTCTCTCTGTCTCTCTCTCTGTCTTTCTGGTGAGTGCACGTGCCCTATAGCAAAAACCTCTCAAAAAAAAAAAAAGTTCTACATTTCCACTTATTTTTATTAAAAAAAAAATTAAAAACATCCTTTTGAGCCAATGCAATGATCAATTATTGAAGACATTTTGTATTTGCACAATTTGCATCTTTACACATTACAGCATATAGTACTAGTTAATAATCATTGAGATAGTGATTGTCTGTGTGCAAAACCAAACATCTAAATTACCACACAAAGATTCTAATAAATCATTGTTTGACTTCTAGGTATTAAATACAAATAACTCTTCATAGATAAAAAAAAAAAAGTACTTTTTTTAAAACACAATTTAAAAACATTATCGAATCAGTAAATTTACATATTTATTCCAGTAAATGCAATTCAATATGCACCTAAAGATGTAGATAAAAAATACATATGGAAAAATTCTGAAGTAAATAACAATGGAAAAATCCATTGTACCTTTTTTCATACATCTAGTCACTAGTCCAAAAAGCTTTACCACTCTGTCTCATCCTTAAAATTTTGTTTCATATCTTATTAGCCAGAAAAATTATTTAATTTCCTCACATCTCCCTTAAATAATGATTGTAAAATGCATATGTCATGTTAGTACCTATCTCCATTTGCACTTGTCAATCAAAACAAATATTTCAGAGGCATTGGTGAAAAATAATTTATCACTATACAGGTCAGCTTTCTGACTACTCGTAATAAAAACTGATGCTTATCTGTACCATTTATTTGTACATCGACTTCATGGTCAGTTTCCAAACATTTATTGAGTAATACCTCCAGTATTTCCATGTATAATATGGCAAACATTCATCTCTATTTAACTGATTAATAAAGTGAAGACCTAACTCATAAAAGAATATAAACCTGATGACACTTACCATCTAACTCACAGTCTACTTTTATCTGTCAGGAAGAAAAGACTATAAAACCTCTAGCATGGAATAGTCTGGCTACCCTGATAGTGAAATATCCAATAGCACTTGGGTTGTATCCATTCCCACCTTTTTGTATGCGATCCAGTCAAACACCTTGTCAATATCTGTTGCCCGTAGCACTTCCTGTGACACTGGATGGGAACTGGCCAGACCGTCAAGCAGCATCACTTCATGCAGAACATCTGTCAGAAACCTCTGTTTTTCCTGGAATACAGTAGACAGGGCATTATCACAGGTGATTCACAATGTATGACAGTATGAACAGAATGTGTATAAATTAATTGATGATTCTCATCAGACCTGCATGGCACAACTCAACTCTAAAGAGAGCCCAGTAAATAAAATGCCCCTTACGTTACTGCAAAGTGAAGGTGGTTGAGTTTAGCGTAAGCCAAAACGTACTCAATGGACTACAGTGGCCTTAAAACCAGGGTGCTTCAAAAAGCTCATGGAGAAATGGAATGAAATTATGAATTTATTTTGCCAAAAAGTTTTTGATATTCATGCATCATTATTTCATAATTTCCCATGAACTTTCCAGAGACCCCCCTGCCATAGATAAAAACAATAAACTCTGCTTTAACTATGATCAAAGTAAATTGGTATAGTAGCACATGATGAAAATGAAAGATACAGGCTCGTTTATGTCTTCTACAGGGACAAGGCTGTAATTCTAGTCCCAAATACCATTTTTAGGTAAGTTCAATATAAGAATACTATTATTGTGCTATTTATATCATTTTTCCCAATACCATTTGAGCAGCTTATTATTGCTCTCCTGGCCCTCTCACCTAATCCTCCACCAAACACACATTATTTCCTGAATTTCAGGAGACTATAACAAATAATAAAAATCAGTACTGGCATCCAGCTACAATATCTGTAGATGTACATGTAAATTCAGTACAGTGGAGATAGACAGGCATCATTGTCATGAACTAATGAAAACAGAAAACCAACAGACTTCTATCCTCTGCAGGTTGAGACATTAGTATTTACACTAATAAAAGCTGATTTGTTAAGTTAGAAATTAATTGCAATGAAAAACCACTACTCTGTTTTTTGGTGGGTTTTGTTTTGTTTTGTCTTAAGAAAGTCTGCTTTAAGAAAACAACTTCAATTTTGTTAATAAGAATGCTGGCAGCTGGCAGTCCTCCCGGCCTCCCACCTTCACTAAAGGAAGAGAAACTGAAAAAAAAAAAAAAAAAGTAGCAAGAGATAAGAAGGGCTAAAGAGCCCCTACATCACTGACATCTGAGGAGTACCTCCACAGAGATTAAAGACTCCAACACTCCCATTGCTCTACCTAATTCTGAATTCACTTGGAGCCTCCTAGTTTTAGCTAGCAGATAAACAGCATGTTATTTCTGAGTGAGTTGTAATTTCAAGATGAGAGCACATCAATCCTGGATTTTAAAAAAAGGAAAATGTAGAATACATATGCTAAGAAGGTTAACTGGGCATACCTGTATGTTATTACTTAATTGGGCTTTAAAGAAATATGTCCATCCTCATTTGTTAAATTATTTAGTATGTTTCATTCATAATTTAATTCGTTAGCCATTCAACTATATACTGTAAGATTTATTTTCAAATAGCTTATTTTTTTCTATGGTCCACATAACTTATTTTTCAATCCTCTTTTATTCTTTTGTTTGATTTTTGTTTTGGTACACTCTATTTGTTAATACCCCTTTACTTCCAAAACTACATGATTTGTAATACGTTCATATTAGCTCATTAGTCATTCATATAACAACATTTTAGAAATCTTATGTGTTCTCTATATTGACAAACTGTATTAGGTCATATGTTGGCTCCACACTACTTAGGAAGAATGTATATTTTTTTTCAGCATTTCAATTACTGAAATATTTTAAATTTAAGGACAATATTATAGTATATTAGTTATTTTAATACAATGGCACACAGATTACATATTTTTAAAATAAAAGAAGATGAGATACTGAGAAATTAGAACAATATTTACTTCTATGAAGTTATGTTCTTCAAACTTCCTTAAAATATGAGTTGGAATTTTTGTCCATGCTTACATTACTTGATATGACTTTTACTGCATTTTAACTTGCATTAATTACTTTTTATTGTAATTTCTGATTTAAATATCATTGCTGTACATTTTTGTGGGGTCTACTTTGGTTTTTAAAGTATGCACATAGTGTGTAATCATTAAATTAAGGATTTAAACTTGTTCACTGTCTCCAACCTTCACATCAGATCATGTTGTATACAGTTGAAATATGCTCTACAGGTTGATACATCACATTAACAGAGGGAAAGATAAAAAGCATATGATTAATTCAATCGATACAGAGAAAGCATATGATAAAGTACAACATTTCTTCATGATTAAGACTCTCAACAACGTAACTTTAGAAGAAATATTTCTTAACACAATAAAGGCCATATATATGACAAACTCACAGTAAAGATCATGCCGAATGGGCAAAAGTTGAAAGCTTTTCCTTTTTTTTTTTTCTTTTTAAAATTGAAATGCAAGTCCTAGGCAACACAATCAGGAAATCAAATGGAATAAAAACATTTGAATTGTAAAGAAAGAAGTTAAATTGTCCCTATTTGCAGATAATATGATAATATACATAGAAAGAACTAAAGAACTCACCAGAAACCTCTGCAACAAATAAACTCAATGAAGTTGCAAGATACAAAATCATTGTACAAAAATCAGTAACACTCTGGTCCTCTTTTGTTCTAAGTTTCTCAGCAACGTGTCTATGCACCATCAAAGAAGACGATAGAGCAATGACAGCACCAGACTCCAGTCTGAGTCCCAGAAGGCAGCTTCAGACCCACAGAGACACAGATCAGAACTTCAAACTTAGGCTGAATGAAATGGCAAATATGACATAAACTAATTCTGTATTTCTTTTCAAATTCATTTCCTAACTCAAGATAAATAAAGAGAACAGAATTTAACTTTGTGATTTAAAATGTTCAGATAATGAAGATTAGTATTTACATTGTTCATTTCTATCTAAGCTCACCAAAAAAATGTCAGTAAGAACTCCGACAAATGGCCTATACTGAGAAAATAAATGGAAATCAAGTACCAATTCCAAACTAAAAAATTTAATATTACTTTTAAACAGATATCCAATTTTGTTACTCATTTAATTTTAAAGTACACATCAAAACTGATATTAGAGGGAACCAGCAGTTAGCATAATGGCTATGTCGCTGGACTCCCACATAGTCGACCGTGGTACGCGTCCTGGACCCTGTGGCTTAAAACTCACGCCAGGCGCGTGTGCGTGCGTGCCCAAGATCCTGAGAGGAGAATGGAGAAGGGATTGTGGCGTGATCATCCCCCCGGGGGGTGATTTCTTGCTTTCTGTCTCTATATCTCTTTCTGTCTGGCGAGCACACGCACCCTATAGTGAAAACCTCTCAAAATAAATAAATAAATAAATAAAAACTGATATTAAAGGGCCAGCAGCTGGCATGATGGTTGAGGCACTGGACTCCCACATGGCTGATTCAAGTCCCAGACCTGGCAGCTTGCTTGCTCTCGCTCCCTTTCTTTCTGTCTCTGTCTCTCTCTGGTCAAATTAGAAATAATAATAATAGTGACAAATAAAATTAAATTAAATAATTAAGAAAACTGACACTAGACTTAACAGGAGAAATTATGACATATATTATAGTATTTTAACTTGACTTATGAGCACTTTCATTTACATGATGTAGTAATTAAATATGTGATTATATTCTTAAATAAAATATTATTCACCTCTTCAAATAGATATTGCCTGCTCTACTTTAAGTCACTCAAACATCTGACCTATAACTATGTGAAAAATGAGCCTAATGTGATGTTTTTAGTATTTAATATTTAGTAACAATAAATACGTATTGATCAATATTACAATCTACATTACAAAATTTAAATATCTTAATTTGCCTAAAGATGTGATGGTTTAAATGTTATAAGTGGCTATATACCTATAAAAATGAAATCTAAAGTAAATTTCAAAGGGAAAACCTTCTTGTTAAAATATAAATAAATAAATTATATACAATGTATTGCTTCATGCTTCTGAAGGGAAACAAAAACAAACTTTTGCCCAGTCTGTCGATTTTCAGTAAGCAATATTTAAATTTATCTGTACTAAATCACTAGCAAAAGATTCATCTTCTAAGTTGTTAGGGGGAATGATATTGTGTAATTGAGACAAAAAGGCTTGTGTGTATAGAGAGGTTAAGAGGAAGGGGAAAAATGAAAAGCTTAGCAAGAGAACATTCATAAAGCCCAGAAGAGAGAGTACCTTAAATTGAGGAGGAGAAAAGAAAATTCTAGCCAGAGGCAAACTCAATTGAACAGAACTACAAAGATTTTCCAGGAAAGACGGTACTAATTTTTTATAAAGACCTGTGTCACTGTAAAATAAGAAATGCTTTACCATGTCAGTTCCTGACTGGGACCCTCTTGTCTTCATCAAGATCAATAATAGCAAAAATGACTAAGTATTGATTAATTGCATAATGTTTACCTGGGGCAATTCATCAATAAAAAACCTAGAAGAAATCCTAGTTCTTGGGGACCAGCAGGTGGCATTATGGTTAAAGTGCCGGATCCCATATGGCCAACTGAACAGGTTTGAGTCCTGGACCTGGTGGATGAAAATCATACTGGGTGCATGTGTGTGTGTGCCCAAAATCTCAAGAGGAAAATGGAGGAAGATTGTAATATGGCCATCCTTCCTGAGGGTGATTTCTCACTTTCCCTTGCTCTCTCTTTCTGTTTGAAGAATACACACACCCTGTGACATTAAAAAAAAAGAAAAGAAAAAAAAAAAGAAGAAAGAGAAAGAAAGAAAGGAAAGGAAAGGAAAGGAAAGGAAAGGGAAGGGAAGGGAAGGGAAGGGAAGGGAAGGGAAGGGAAGGGAAGGGAAGGGAAGGGAAGGGAAGGGAAGGGAAGGGAAGGGAAGGGAAGGGAAGGGAAGGGAAGGGAAGGGAAGGAAAGGAAAGGAAAGGAAAGGAAAGGAAAAGAAAATATCTTAGCTTTAATGTAAGAGAAGAGCTAAAACAAAATAACAAAATATTTAGACATAGTAAATGAAATACTAGTTTTTCACTTAAAGATTAGAAGTGCCAAAAAGAATTTGAAAAAAATAGAATGTAAAACAGAATTATCATGAAAAGTTTAATGGATAAGGTGGAAT